AGTAGCAATAGCAGTAGCAATAGCAGTAGCAGTAGCGGTAGCAGTAGCAGTCGCAGTAGCAGTAGCAGTAGCAGTAGCAGCAGCCGTAGCCGTAGCCGTCGCCGTAGTAGTAGTAGAAGCAGTAAGAGTAGTAGTAGTAGTAGTAGTAGCAGCAGTAGTAATAGTAGTAGCAGCAGCAGCAGCAGAAGTAGTAGTAGTAGTAGTAGTAGTACTAGTACTAGTACTAGTACTAGTAGTAGTCGTCGTCGTAGTAGTAGTGGCAGTCGTAGCATTGGCAGTAGCATTAGCATTAGCAGTAGCAGTCGTCGTCGGAGTGGTAGTAGTAACACTGGCAGTACAAGAGAAAAGGACAGCAGCAGTCGATATGTATACTGATAGGGCTTTTGATGCTATGATTAAACAAGGTGCTTTTTGTCTTCCAGCGGTCCTTGTGCAAATGAAACCTCAAGGTCCGGGCGAAGTCTAGTTACAGCGTAATAAAATCCTTTCATACACCACGGTTCATACGTCTGAATTCGACTTCTGCACCCCATGTGCCATCTGCAGTGAACACCCTTGCCCACAACAAGCTAATCTGCCTGTTGTGTCTCAATGACCCTCCCAAACACACTGAGGTGTTCTGAGGCTATGCATGTCATGCTTCCAGCCAAGGTATGTCCTACAGTCTACTACCTAGGGATATAGGGGTTAAATGACTACACAAGGGTTATATATGGCAATTTCATTAAGGGTCCCTGTTAGGGGTCCCTCCTAAAGCCCCTAGAAGTCTGAATTTCACCTCGAAGGGACGGACTCCAATATTCTTGGTTAGCGATCCACCCAAGTCCACGCCAAGCTGTTCACCAAAAATGCCTGAGCAAGATTATGCAGGAGGAAAAAACCTATGTTTCTAAGGTTTCGGGTGTTCCTGCCAAAAATCTTCAGGTGTTATGTGGAAAATCTTCTGGTGTTACTAAACCCTAAACCCCTAAACTTGCTGGCAAAGCATGCGCTACGAAATATGTCTGCGACGGCTTTGTCCACGGCTTTCTCCAAGTCAGCAACTTGGAACACCTCAAACTTCTCAAGGGCCCACTCACCTTGGTTTAGGGTTTAGGGTTTAGGGTTTAGGAACACCTCGAACTTCTCAATGGCCCACTGACCTTGGTGGGGACCCTTGTAGCTTATGGGGGTTAGTATGGGGACTACTTAGGGATATAGGGGTTGTATAATGACTATATAAAGGTTATATATTCTCAATGGCCCACTGACCTTGGTGAAGTTGTTCTTTCTTCTTACTGGTTCTTAGGAGGCAATCAGGGAACATAATCCCTATCTAATATTCCCAATGTTCCCTAGTAAGCCCAAGTAAGTCTTTGAGAACAGATCTGCTTCGCTGTTGCGAATGCCATTTCTGCCCAGTTCAAGCAAGCCACGCAGTGTTGGGTTTAGGGTTTAGGATCCACAAGCACCAAAAACTGCACACCTCATAACAGCTCAGAAGCCCATGCCATGCGTTGAGCAAGCGGGTGCTTCGTCAGGTCCCGACATATTTGCTTCTGAGCCAAAAGCTGGCAGATGCCGAGGTGGGGCGACTGCATCGAAAATGTTCATAACTTATTGGTACTCGTTTTGCTGACAGTGTATTATGACTGTGTGTTGGGGTCAATTCTTTGAGCACAGCGTGTCGACCCAAAACAACTAACAATCACAACAAGCAAGACTGAGAAAACAGCGTGAAGCCAACCCGCTGACGAAGGTCATTCGGACATGCAAGTAGATTGGGGCACAGGGGCACGTGGAGCAATGCAAAAGCCCTCAACCTCAAAGCTATAAGGGTCCTGGACAACAGCCAAGAACAGGTCTCATTGGGATCTGGGATTCCCCTGAAAATAATACAAGATTTCAGTGAATCCCCGATAATCCCCGCCATGTTCCTATGAAATGTCCCTGCATACAAAACAAGGCATATACAAGGCTGACAACTTACACATAACTTTAAGAAAAAAAGAGCGAGAGAGAGAGAGAGAAGATTAGAACAAAATTGATTCCAAGGCAAAGGCCGACAGAGATGGCGGCAGCTCTAGAAACGCATCTGGCTCCCAGCGAGACCAGCACCTGCGAGTTTCAACCACGAGCACTGTGTCAGATTAGGTTTTTGCAAGATCGTGTGGCACTTACGTAAGGAATATGTAGAGATTACAAGAAGATCATAGAGTCCCACTTCAGGTTGTTGTAAGGATCTTTCTGAGAAGCTCATGAATGCATCAGCACAAAGCAAGGCACATGACGGCCACTGTCCGCTCCGAAAAACACCGCTAGATTTACACCGACAGCATGCTGGCATTGTCTATCACGAGGCATCGGCTGGGGTTTAGTCAGGGTGTGGGTCGGGGACTGGCATGTCAGGTTGTGAAGGTTTGGAATTTGGCAGTTGGACCTCTTCCTACAGCAGAAGATCAGACGGACCGGGCTGCTTCTTGTTTTTGTTATCTTCCACGACCAAAGGGGGGGGGGCCAAGCCAGACAAGCCCAATACAGTAATCGAATAATTCAAATACAAATCCCATGTGATGATGGATAAAGGTGCTCTGTGAAGGAGATCCCTGCTGACATGCTTTCAACAATGGCAGGTTCTCTTCTCGGGAAGACCCATTCCGCCCAAGATTGCGGGCAAGCTACCCAAAATGACGAAAACAACTGCATGAGCCAGCTGGGGTCTGCTCAATCAAGCAGTCTGGGCAGATGTCCAGTCGTTACCATATATTGAACACATAATAAATAATAGGGTGTCCTTGTTATAGTAGCTGAAAAATACAACCCAGAACATAGACGCTGTGCCTCCGACAAAACCAACCTCCGGACCATTCGCTGTGACCTGCAACCAGAGAGAGCAGATGTACATTGTTAGAGTCATATTCAATATAACATATACAGATAAATACATATATATATATGAGCCCGATAC